TCTAAACTTATTTACCCTCAAAATCTCTCAGTTTTGAAGATAACTGATACTTAACTAAATGGGATATTACAATTTGGGCTGAGCTTCGGAAGGCGCAAGACGAGGATGCACATTGCCGGGACGTGATCGAGAAGCTGAACGTAGGACACGACGAAGACGAGGACCATGACATGCACGATGGTTTGCTCCTTTATCGTGGTCGAGTCGTTGTGCCCGAGGCGGGATCGTTGCGCGAGGATATCATCTGGCACTTCCACGACTCGAAGTTTGGAGGACACTCCAGGGTGTTCCGGACTTGGATGAGGATTGCGAGTACTTTTTATTAGCCGGGGTTGAGGGGCGATGTGCGCAACTACGTTGGGCAATGTTATGAGTGCCAACGCACTAAGGCGGACGTGCGTCGACCGGGCGGGCTACTCCAACCTTTGCCGGTTCCCGCGCGTATTTGGGAGGACATCACCATGGATTTTATCGAGGGGTTGCCGCTCTCGAATGGGTTCAATGGAGTAATGGTGGTAGTCGACCGCCTTACCAAGTATGCGCATTTTATTCCACTTACTCATCCATACACGGCTAAGTCTATAGCAAAATTGTTTGTCGAATATGTGATGAAATTGCATGGGGTGCCGCGGTCAATTGTGTCCGACCGAGATCGTATAATTATGAGTAGCTTTTGGTCGGAGTTCTTTAAATTGCAGGGAACCGAGCTAAGCATGAGCTCAACTTATCATCCACAAACCGACGGACAGACAGAGGTGACCAATCGCACGCTCGAGCAGTACCTTAGGTGCTATGTGCATCAGTTTCCAAAGCGATGGGAGGATTTACCGAATGAGGAAGCAACTAGGCAGAGTTGGGACGAGATGCGCGAGATGTTCCCCGACTTCTTCCTTGAGGATAAGGAAGCACTTGAAGGGGACGGGAATGATGCGGACACGGCGAAAAGGCTCAAGAACGCGGCGAGTCGCACGTGGCATGCGCGAAGGAGGCTAAGTCGTCGTGCCAGAGAGGCGCGATACGCGGACGGGCGAGCGCGCGCGGGAGATGACGCGCTCGATATTATTAGGGACGAGCGCGGGTTTGAATGTGCAAGCGACGGGATGCACGCACGAACTTGCCTAGGCGCACGAGGATTAGGCGAGCTGCTAGACGCGTGCGCGGGAATGGAAGATGAAGCCCTAGTGCTTGGGCGATTAGGAAACACGAACTTGGAGTGCAAGCCAAGGCATTAGATTCCCTAGCTATTTAGTTTCCTTATTGCTTTATGATATCTAGATTATTTAGGACACTTAATATTTTATTACTTTATTAGAGTTATAGTTATATTAGGATTAGATCTAGTTGATGCCTATATAAAGGCCCTTCCTCTTGTTAATTTGATTATTCAGAAATCAATACAAAAATCTGAACTTTTGTTCAAACTCTTTGCTCTAGATTTCTTCTTGATTTCTATTGCATTTATAATCGTTAGAAAGGCTACGAGTGTGCGGCTTCCTAACACCTATCAAGCGATTTAAGGCGCGGGAGCGGCTTGTCGACAGTCGAGACACACGGTCTTCATTAAGGCAGCTCAGCGCGCGCCCAGCCACGCTGATGCGGAAGTGGCTAGGTAGCTCAAGAACGCCGCGAGTCGCGCCTACCATGCACGCATTAGGCAAGCACGGGTGACGGCAGAAGTGCGGGCACTCGAGTGAAGTGCACGCGGTACGGGCGACGATGGACTACACGCGGATGTGAGAGCGGTGTGCGCGGCAAGGGCGCTTGGCGAAGGTGAGCAGGATGCGCGTAGCGCGGGGTTGACGAGCGCGCGCGGGGGAGGCACGCGCAGTAGACGAGGCCTTATGCCTCGAGGCATGCGGAAAGGTGGGGCAACACGCGCAAAGGAGCAGCCGGGAGCAAAAGCGTGCGCGACACGCCTGATGGGGCAGGACGCGCGGGGCGCCAAGCCGCAGTCCTTGAGGGATGCGGTATGGCGGCGGACACGCGCACGAGGGCGGCGCGACGGGCGCTAGCGTGTGCGGCACGCCGGTGACGGAACACGCGCGGAAGACGGTGCCCTAGTCCTCGAGGACTAGGGCGTGGACTGAGGCGGCGCGCGGATGAAAGCCCGAGTAAGACGGTGCACGAGAGAGAGGGAGATACTTGGAGTGCAAGCCAAGCTAGTAGTTTCCATCTTGCATTATGAGATCTAGATTAATTAGGCTACTTAATATTTTATTGCTTTATTAGTTCCCTAGGTAGATTAGGACTAGATATAATTGGTGCCTATATAAAGGCCATCCCCCATGTTATTTTTTATCATCAATTTTATGAATAGAAATCAGAACTTTTGTTCTTCCACTTTGCTTTAGTTTTCCACCAATATTCTATTGCAATTTTATTCGTTCCAAAAGGCGCTGTTGTGGCTCGAAGAACACCTATCGGCGATTCAAGGCGTGGGTTAGTGGCTTATCGGCAATCAAAACACACGATCTTCATCATTGGTGCTTTCATTGAGAGGTGTTAGATCGTGTGTTTTTCTTCTATCCCATTCCTTTTCTTTTCTTTTCTCTTTTTCGTCCCCCCTATCAAAAAATATATATATATTATCATCACGAGTCCTCGGAGCAAAGAGCATAGAGAAGAGAAGAAAGCAATGGCCAATAAAGAGATGAAGGACAAGATCGATAATCTTGACATCCAGATGCGAAGCATGAGCGAAGATATGGAGGGAAGGCTTGGATCGCTCGACGAAGGCAAAGGCAACACTAACGCCGTTGTGGCACGACTCGAGCAGCGCGAAGAGGTACTGCGGGCATTTCAGCAGCAACCACCACGACAGCACGACGACCCTCCGAGGCGCAAACACCGCCGACACGCCGAGCACGACGAACGCATGCCATCACCACGGCGCGAGGAGCGGTGCGCGCACGAGCAGCATGACGGGGAACGGCGACGCGGTGACTATGAGCACGAGGACGAGTTCGATCAGCGATCACAGGCATCCAACTACCAAGATCGGTCGAGGCCCGACAAGCCAAGATTCGTGATGTCCACA